ATCTCTTGTGTACTCTCATTTAAAGTGGATTTAAATGGTGGGACAAGCTGTAGAACAACCAAATTCGTTATAATAGTCTTTCTCTTTTGAATTTTTCAAATTTGGTGGCTTGAGGACCATACAGGCAGCAGAAAGCCGCGACGCTTTGATATTTCAAACTTAGATATTTCGATGTCCACAAACTTGGCTAACTTCTCTTTATTGACCATTTTATTGCAACATTTATTTCTCCCGTTCATGTTTGAAAATGGCCGAAGGAAGGAATACTCGCAAGATCTATTCCCACCTTAACATTAGCTGATCCATTTGAGCAGCAAATATACGTTAGCTATCGGCTGATGGTCTTCCCTTAGGTTGACTGTTTTGTGAGGGATTCAAATTTTGCAGAGTTAATTTATAGTCTACTCTTTAGACTGATTCAACTGATTGGTATTTTACTTTAGCGTTTCTGATAAGCAATTGATTCATAAATCTACTATTTTGTCTCGACAATATGAATTTCAGTTGTAAATGACCCCATTTCTTAGTGCAATCAATCAACAAAAGAATGATTAGAGCGTCTTATGTTAGTAGCGAGAATTTGAGTTTCTTCTTTTGTTTCCTGTTTTTATCGCTATGTTCCAGATTATCACAAGAAGCGGAGCGTCTCAGTTACGTATCCTTTGAGTGAAATGGCCTCCTATCCTATTGAGTAGACTATCTACTTGATGCACCAATCAGTACAAATACTAGAAAAAAGCTCTTTGATAGCATTCGAAAAGTTGAAAAGTTTCCACGCTTATAAAATTCTTCCAGTTTTCATGGATTTAAGCTTTTCCTAAAGTAGATCCTTTTCGGACTTTTTCGCGCTTTCCTATCCCTCTTTTATTGAACATCGTGCTTAAGATACCTTTAAAGAAGAAAAAACGTTTTTCATGTAGCAAAGCCTCAGGAACTTTTCCGAACAACTAGCATATTCTGGCTCCACTCAGTGATGGGTCGTATCTGCAAGGTTTAGGTCAACACAGCTTAAATGGTAAAAGAGGATAGAAGAAACAGAAATTTGCCAAACAATGTTTGCAGCAAGTTTAGGCTAAGCCAAAAGCGACGTTCTATCCTAGCTCGCTAGTCCTCGATTTCTTCTGAATTTCTACATAACTATGTCCCTACAGGATTTCTTTGACTTTCAAGTTTAAGATTTATTGTTCTGTTTTTGAGGATAACCCTGACCTGTCGCAGGAGATGTATTTGAAGATACTATAGAAGTTCCTTCTGTTGCCCTATTGCGACGAAAGACATTTGAGGAGGTTATACCAAGCGTTATAATTCCTTCCAAAAAGGGGTTAAATGATTAAATGATTATGTGTAGATTCAAGTCACTATGTCTTCAAAATCGGAGTCGTTGTCGTCTTTGCAAGGAAAAAAATTACGAATTCTTCTGTAACTTAAGCGCCCGTGCAAGCAGTACGAAATTGCGTTGCTGTTTCTTTGGAGTTTGTTTTCTCCTTACTCAAAGTAAAGCAATTTAGAGCCCTAGTAAAGAAAAGGAGAACAGCTTTTGGCTAATTTTTGTACCAACAAGTACAGGGGTCCATAAAAAAGTGTTTAAAAAAAGGAAAGAAAAATTATGACAAAGAAATCATTTGGTAGCCTCAAGTCCATCGCAGGTCTTCGCCAATTTTACAGCTATGAAACCATGTGCGACTGCTGACGTCTACCCTAAATATCTCTGGTGTGCAGCGAACTTCAATTCCTAAGCCCGTTTAAAATGATAAACACAACTGTTTCCGTGTGGTTTTGCTTACATAACGTTTAGCAGGTAAGTCAAAGTTTAACAAAAAAAGAAGATTAGAAAAAACAAAGAAGAGAAAAAAAATTTATGTGCCTCTCAAACTGCCCAAAAAAATTGCTCGTTCTCATTTAGTTCCTT